GACGACGAGACAAAGCTCTTATTGCATTTTTTAAAATGTTAAAAATATTTTTTAAATATATATATATTTAAATTATTTTTTTTTTAATCAAAAGTGAGATCAAAGAGTAAGTGGTGTCAGACGCATTTTCAGTTACCAGAGTCATTGGTAAAATATGAAGGCATTTTGGTTTATGTACAGTGCCCTCCATAAGTATTGGGACAGTAAAGACCAAATTGTTCTGTTTGCTGTGGAGTCTAGAAATCTGTAAATATGATTAAAAGATGAATATGAGACAAAACTACAGAATGTCACATTTTATTATTGGGTGTTTCTACAAACATGGATGTATTACCAAATAAAAAGGACAGCACTTTTAGAGTGTTGGAGGGCACTGTATATGTATATGTGTGTAATATATAATACGTGTGTGTGTGTGTCTGTCTGTCTTTTATATATAAATTATTATATCATTTTTTGCAGTAGAAATTGAATTAAAGCACTCTAATTTTGTTTCTTCTTTTGTCTGTCTGTCTGTAGCTCAGAGGAGTGGAAGAGAGTGAGTAAGGGTGAGCGAGAGAGGCTGGGTGTGACTGTGGAAGATGATGGCGAGTTCTGGTGAGATTCTGCCCTGCTTTTGCTCTGTTTCAAGACTTTTTGCATTGAAATTGTGAAGGGCAATCAGAAAATGTTTAATGAAGAAATACTGCAATCAAATACAAACATTTCTGACTCAGAAAAATGCAAAAATAATCAGTTTCCCCTTAAAAATAAACAAATCAAGTATTGCTGTTGCTTCCATCAATGTGCAGTCTGTTTATATCTGTTAATATCCCAAAAAATGTGTTTTCTATCTGTGACATGCTGATGATTATCTCATAAAATAATTTAGCATTTTCAGTTTGTCAGTACAGCATTAAAAAATGGTTTAAAATGTAAGGCTTGCATTTTTGTTAAAGCAGTTAATTAATTCTTCATTGCAAAACCACGTCATCCTCCCTTTCTGGCATCTTTGCAATCTATCTATCTATCTACCTATCTATCTATCTATCTATCTACCTATCTAAAGCTGAATTATTTGCATGTGAAGTACATCTGATTGAAATCTTTTACTTAAGAATCAAACTCCTCTTAAAACTGTAAAGTTTGGATTTGCTACTGATGGTCATTCTTCTCCGTCCTGCTTGTGTCCATTATCTTTCCAGGATGGATTTTGAGGATTTCTGCAAGTATTTCACAGACCTGATTCTGTGCCGCTTGATTAACACGTCGTACCTGAGCATCCACAAGACCTGGGAGGAGGAAGTGATGCGGGGCTCCTGGTGTCGCCACGACGACCCTTTAAAGAACCGATCAGGAGGCTGCATCAACCGCAAAGCCACGTTCCTGCAGAACCCACAGGTGTGTGTGTGTGTGTGTGTGTGTGTGTGTAGAGGTGTACTGAAGAGTGTTTCTGTGTTCTTCAGTATGTGTTCGATGTGACGAAGCCAGAGGACGAGGTTCTGATCTGCCTTCAGCAGCAGGACAAGAGAGCTCGATCTAAAGATGGCATTGGAGACAATGTGGCCATCGGCTTTGACATCCAAAGAGTATGTACACAAACACAAACACAAGTACACAAACCAATCTTTAAAAAAGCCTAATATTACATCATTTGATGAAACATATCAATAAAACATCTCCACTGAGTTTTTTTCTCAAAATAAGACTGAAGATGCACTTGCGAAAATAAAAAAGTCAAATGTCAAAAGATTCAGTTTTGATGACAAAAAGAAGTATTCAAACTTAATAACTACAACAAAATGTACTCTAAACAATATAACTTAATAAATAAATATTTATATTTGGCTTTATATCCATCGTTAATGACAACAAAAAAAAAGAAGTATTCCGAATGTATAAAATAGCTCACAATCTGCAAAGGAGTTGAAAATTATGTTAAAATATTTATTTTAACGTCAAAGAACTATATATATATATTTGGCTTTAATTACATAAAGAATTATTCAATATGCATCATTTCACTTAAAATCTGCAAAGAGCGGAAAAATGTTCAAATACTCCTAAACATTTTACAACAGTTTTTAATAAAGATGTCTCTTGTGCTTGCCAAGGCTGCATTTATTTGATCATAAATACAGAAAAATGGTAATATTGCAAAATATTATTACAATTTAAAGTGTTTTCTATGTGAATATACTGTATGTTAAAATGTAATTTATTCCTGTGATGCAAAGCTGAATTTTCAGCATATAATTCACTGAGGAGAATTCAGATTCTATATCTTTATTAGTTTTAGTGCACTTATCAAAATAACAAAAGCGAATGTCAAAAGATTCAGTTTTGATGACAGAAAGAAGTATTCAAAATGCATTTAATTTAACGTACAATCTGCAAAGGAGTGGAAAAATGTTAAAATACTATTTAATGTGTCGATTTAATGTTTGCATTTTCTTCTGTTGTGTTTGTGTGTGTGTGTGTGTGTGTGTGTGTGTGTGTGTG